AACCTGGCCTGGTCGAACGCGAACTTTTACAAAATATGCCAGTACAGCGGTTGCCATCAGAGATTATTATTTCTTTATTAAAGAATTCACGAGATTGTACAGAGGAACAAAATGCAGCACCGAGATGAGATGATGGCTTCAGTGTGGCGAGTCACCACACACTGACACCACCCCAGCTCATCACACACACGCCACTTACCCTGTCTCTTATACACATCTAGATGTGTATAAGAGACAGACGTCACCCACAGGACCACGTCACCACCAGGACCACGTCACCCACAGGACCACGTCACCCACAGGACCACGTCACCCACAGGACCACGTCACCCACAGGACCACGTCACCCACCAGGACAGTCAAAGAACTCGTCGTCGCCCCCAGAGTCTGAGCAGGAGTCGCGCCTGATGCTCTCCATGCGCCAGCTCACTGCAACGCGTGTCATACATTAATTATTTAGACACATACAATTATCATATATATTTTACTGAATAATGCGAATATTTTGGTATATTTTACTAAATAATGCGAATATTTTGGTATATTTTACTAAATAATGCGAATATTTCTAAACTAAGCGTACTATAAAAACAACGAAAGTTTCGAAATCAGTAACAAAAATGCCTTCCCACTCACAAAAAATTATCTCAGAACCATTTTCTCTGTTGACAAGTCTTATCATCGTCATTACTCATCATAAATACAACAAGAAAATATGTACATTAACTTTCAGTCAAAATTTCTAGCCCAAAGTTATGTCTTCATTAAAATATACGTAGAGTCGTGAGAAATATTTATCAGTGATTATGAAAAGGCTAATCATTAATATTTTTCATATATTTGGCATATATTTTCGTATAATGATCACGCACCTTGTGACTGAGAACTGAGTGCACGCACCTTGTGACTGAGAACTGAGTGCACGCACCTTGTGACTGAGTGCCCCCACCTTGTGACTGAGAACTGAGTGCCCCCACCTTGTGACTGAGAACTGAGTGCCCCCACCTTGTGACTGAGAACTGAGTGCCCCCACCTTGTGACTGAGAACTGAGTGTGTTCTTAGATGCGCTGCGAGTCCAGGATAGCCTCCTGCCGCTCAAGTGGTCTGGCTGGAGACTGTCGCAGCTGCCAGCCCACTCGGGGACGGAGTATGGGCTTGATCCACCCACTCTCAAGTCCCCACTCTCCTCCACGCGCACACTCACCCCACTCCTGTCACTCTGTTCACTTTCCATGCGCATGCGCGGAGCCCCTACAGCGTGATGAACGTTCCCCCCGTTCACAATATTGTTCCGTCTGTCAGTGTCGCTACTTCTGTCATAATTTGTGACTCCGTCTGCATTTCTGTCAACTTCGACGGCAGGTTTAGAACTATTATTATCTCTGTCGTTGGTGTTGGCAACCACATCGTCCTCTTCATCGTCGTCGTGTTCTGACGAAGCGTACTTCTGCTGCAGGAGCGCCATGGTCTCCTCCTCGATGGCCCGCACGTCAGCGATGGTCAGGCCCCACCACTCGTCCTGCCACGCCCACGCCTGCTGGTGCGCCTTCAGCATCGTCTTCCGCAGCGCTGGTTTTATATAATATTACATTTATTAACATGATAGTTATTTTATAAACATGTTAGTTCTTTTATAAACATGATATTTCATTCATTAACATGATATTTCTTTTATTTACATGATAATTCTTTCATTTAGATGATATTTCATTTGTTTACGTGATATTTCTATTTTTACATTATATTTCATTTGTTTACATGATATTTCTTTTATTTACGAGATATTTTCAGTTCTTATATCATTAGTCTGCTTAGATCGCAAGTTGTCCAAGAAATGTTAAAGCAAAGAAAACGCAAAATTAATTCACCATATTTTTCTATCTAGATATTTTTTTACTACTTTCAAAATAATACGTTCTTCATGGCTATCAAAATTGCAAAAAATTTCAATTGGGAAGCAAATTTGAATGAGGGGCAAATAAATGAGTAAATGCAATATAGTAACTGATCAAAAATAGATGACAGAATCTAATATCTTTCTTCATTTATGGTGTATCCACCGTAGTATTGTGAATATGAATAACAGGTTGGCGGATGGAGGACAGAATTTCGGCGCTAAATATGTTCAGTTCAATAATTGATTTGAATCAAAACTCAATAGGCGTTCAAAGCAAGAGATGCAAGTGCGTATACAACTAAATGGCCTTATGTGTGATATGTATTATAAGCCATGCACAGTGTACATGACGTGCCGACGTCGTGGCTACACAATATGACGTACCGACGTCGTGGCTACACAATAAGACGTACCGACGTCGTGTTTAGTGACGTACCGACGTCGTGTCTAGTGACGTACCGACGTCGTGTCTAGTGACGTACCGACGTCGTGGCTACACAATAAGACGTACCGACGTCGTGTCTAGTGACGTACCGACGTCGTGTCTAGTGACGTACCGACGTCGTTCCTACAAAATATGACGTACCGACGTCGTGTCTGGTGACGTACCGACGTCGTGTCTGGTGACGTACCGACGTCGTGTCGGGTGACGTACCGACGTCGTGTCGGGTGACGTACCGACGTCGTGTCTAGTGACGTACCGACGTCGTTCCTACAAAATATGACGTACCGACATCGCGTCTAGTGACGTACCGACGTCGTTCCTACACAATATGACGTACCGACGCGGTGTCTAGTGACGTACCGACGTCGCATCTAGTGACGTACCGACGTCGTGGATGAACTTCTCTATCTTGCTCTGCATGCCCCAGTAGCGGAACTCGACCTTGCAGAGCTTGTAGGCGCACATGATGGCCCGCCCGTCCTCTAGGGGCGTCGCCCGACCCTGTAAGATACACGGCGTCAGGAGGGTGATACACGACACGATATTCAGTACACAGCACGGCACACGGCACGGTACATGGGTCAGGTGATACACTCGACACAACATACAGCACGACACATGGCGTCAATTGGTAATACACGACAAGGCACCCGACACGACTTGATACATAACAAGATACATGACACGACACACGGGGTGTGGAGGTGATTCACAAGATACACGGAACATAGCACGACACACGGCACAGCACACAGTACAGTCACGACACACCGGCCTCCTCAACACGTGCGGTCTCGGACATTTTTTGTTAATACAACGACGAAGAAATAATTTAAAAAATATCGCATATAAATCCTACAAAACTTTAATAAGTTAATATACCAAGTAAATTTTGGAGCGATAATTTCTTGTCGTTCACAAGCACACCTCATGAATGGCTAAAACTAGGCACAGTTGGAATGAAAAATATGATTATTCCACACAGCATCTATGTTATATATAATACCATAGAGAATCTATATTTGCTCGTCATACTCCTAAGTATATCCCCCGCCGGATGCACCACAGCTTCCTTCACATCCACCACACATAAAACACTCCACCTCCCCCCCCCCCCCCCCCCCCCCCCCCCCCCCCCCCCCCCCCCCCCCCCCCCCCCCCCCCCCCCCCCCCCCCCCCCCCCCCCCCCCCCCCCCCCCCCCCCCCCCCCCCCCCCCCCCCCCCCCCCCCCCCCCCCCCCCCCCCCCCCCCCCCCCCCCCCCCCCCCCCCCCCCCCCCCCCCCCCCCCCCCCCCCCCCCCCCCCCCCCCCCCCCCCCCCCCCCCCCCCCCCCCCCCCCCCCCCCCCCCCCCCCCCCCCCCCCCCCCCCCCCCCCCCCCCCCCCCCCCCCCCCCCCCCCCCCCCCCCCCCCCCCCCCCCCCCCCCCCCCCCCCCCCCCCCCCCCCCCCCCCCCCCCCCCCCCCCCCCCCCCCCCCCCCCCCCCCCCCCCCCCCCCCCCCCCCCCCCCCCCCCCCCCCCCCCCCCCCCCCCCCCCCCCCCCCCCCCCCCCCCCCCCCCCCCCCCCCCCCCCCCCCCCCCCCCCCCCCCCCCCCCCCCCCCCCCCCCCCCCCCCCCCCCCCCCCCCCCCCCCCCCCCCCCCCCCCCCCCCCCCCCCCCCCCCCCCCCCCCCCCCCCCCCCCCCCCCCCCCCCCCCCCCCCCCCCCCCCCCCCCCCCCCCCCCCCCCCCCCCCCCCCCCCCCCCCCCCCCCCCCCCCCCCCCCCCCCCCCCCCCCCCCCCCCCCCCCCCCCCCCCCCCCCCCCCCCCCCCCCCCCCCCCCCCCCCCCCCCCCCCCCCCCCCCCCCCNCGTGTTACAGCATGACACACGGTAATGCACGTGTTACAGCATGACACACGGTAATGCACGTGTTACAGCATGACACACGGTAATGTTCACGGCACGACCATCACCTGGCACGCGGCCCAGTATGTCTGGATCCAGTCCTCCTGTAGAGGACCACGGCCGGTCTTGCTGGACCGGTACAGGGTGGGGTCCTCGGCCTCGTTGTAGTCCGCGCCGTGGGTCTGGTCCCGCACCACGTCGATCAGGTCTGCCGGGCCAGCAGTGACATTAGTAACTCCAGCATAGTACATGAATGTGCTATAATATAATACATGAATGCTACATTGTAACGCTACACACTCCGTATATAATTTGAAGAACAAATAACTCTACAGTCATAGTTATTTCATTGAGCGTCTTAAGAAATGATTAGATTTACTCTGAACTTGGGATGATATGCAACTCTGCAGCTCGATGAGTTTTACTTCTTCAGTGGATTGGGTCCAAAAATAATTCAAATATTAGTATAGGATGGCAGAATTTGTTTCTTTAAACAGGTTTCTTTGAAGACCAGAGAATTTGCGTTATTGAAAATTTTCTCAACATATCGAACAGTATTTTTCGTTCACGATGGCAAATACGAAAAATACTATTCAAAATATTAAAAAAAAAAGAAAATCATCAATAAAACAAATTCTCTTGTCTTCAATCAAATCAGCAAAAAGAAACATAAGTCAGGAAACTTGCTGACTTCATCATATTCTAAGAGTTCATTAGTTTAGGACGTAAACAAGCAGGCAAAGCAGTATTTATCAAGAAAGAGAACTCACAACCGCTGAAACCTGGCCTGGTCGAACGCGAACTTTTACAAAATATGCCAGTACAGCGGTTGCCATCAGAGATTATTATTTCTTTATTAAAGAATTCACGAGATTGTACAGAGGAACAAAATGCAGCACCGAGATGAGATGATGGCTTCAGTGTGGCGAGTCACCACACACTGACACCACCCCAGCTCATCACACACACGCCACTTACCACACTCGAACTGTTTGAGGTTCGAATAAGTGACAGAAGTTGTTAAATCCCCCCACACACGTCACTCACCACACGCACCACACTCATTCCAATCATCCCACACATGCACACCACTCACTACACGCACACCACTCAGCTTACACCCCACACACTCACCCACACATCACTCACCCCACACACTCACCCACACATCACTCACCCCACACACTCACTCAACCTACACACGTCACTCACCACACACACGTCACTCACCACACACACGTCACTCACCACACACACGTCACTCACCACACACACGTCACTCACCCCACACACGTCACTCAGCCTATACACCACTCAGCCCTACACCCCACACACACCCCACTCAGAACTAAACCCCACGTCACTGACCACACTCGCAGAGCTTGCGCTCAGCAGGAGTGAGGTTGAAGACGTTGTCCTGATGTCCGCCGTCATCGTGGTAGACGGTCTCGACCTCGAGGCTGAACTTGTCCACCATGGAGCAGGTGTAGCGCGTCTTGGTGTAGGGGTAGGCGTTCCAGGCCTCCTCCTCCACCGTCAGCGCCGACTTCGGGATCAGCGCCTTCAGCCAGCCTGTACTGTCCCTCACACGACTGTCCCTCACACGACTGTCCCTCACACGACTGTCTCACGACTGTCCCTCACACGACAGTCCTTCACACAACTGTCCCTCACACAACTCTCCCTCACACAACTCTTCCTCACACAACTGTCCCTCACACAACTCTCCCTCACACAACTATCCCTCACACAACTGTCCCTCACACAACCGTCCCTCACACAACAATCCCTCACACGACAGTCCCTCCCTCACCAGGCAGGTGGGAGGCGACGTAGTAAACCTTCCTCGTGTACTGGCCGGCGCCTGAAGGCCCAGGGCCGTCAGTGTAGGGCTCGTTCACCAAGATCTGCACGCCGCTCTCCTCGCTGTGGCTCTCCATCCGCGACTTCTTCTGCACGACACAAGCATGGCTGTCAGTTCTTGAGTCCTCATCCGCAACCCACGAGGGTATGAGCCCTTTATTGCCCTCTAATTAAGCAAAGTATTTTATTACCCTCCACAAAAATCAGCAATGATTGCCTCGTACGAAACGTGTGCGAAGACAAATTTTATACGACACAAGCATGGCTGTCAGTTGTTGGGTCCTCATCCGAACCCCACGAGGGTATGAGCCCTTTATTGCCCTCTTATTAAGCAAAGTATTTTATTCCTCTCCACAAAAATCAGCAATGATTGCCCCGTACGAAACGTGTGCGAAGAAAAATTTCATTTGGCTGCCGTATGGTAAAAAGGGCTTACGGTAAGGCTGTAGCTACCACGCTAAATTTATTGAACAATAAAGAATTTAGTTCTTTATTCTCTGGATTATTTGATCTGACTCTAGAATATACATTTTCATGATTAGGTTGGCGTCCGTTGCATGCAGAACGACAACAAAAAGAAACCTTACAACCGACTGTCATGCCATGCTGCCTTCTATAGAGGGAGGGACAACAAAGTTTTCTTCTTGTTTTGACCTGATATGTAGATACGTTGACTTGATGACAACATACCATACAGACATGTGTATTCTGCACGTGTCCAGAATATGATTAAATATGACAGCCACAGATAAGATATTCACATACACAATGTATAGGGCGATGCAACGCTTTGATTGACGACATTCAGCGGCGGTTTAAAAACGTATTTGTACGAGCAAGGATTTTAACCTCTATTGTTCAATTCGGTATAAAAGAAAATTACTGGTACCGTACATACAATATTAAATGAAGTCAAATCAGAGAGAAAATATATTTTAAAAATATAACTCAGTAGTACTCACTGCAGTGAGTGACAGAGCGCATTTTCTCGTCGACTAAAACGTGAAGTCACGGACAGACAGACGGACATGGCGAGCACAATAGTGCATTTTTTTCCATAAATCAGAAAATGCGCTAAAAAACGAGAAAATATTTAAGTAAAATAAACACATTGCTATCTAATTGTAATTAAGTTGATATGTAAATCAAGCTTTGACTAAAGCACGACGTGGTTGCGCTGATGCAAGTTCATGTGATCACGAGTTTTCAAGAATAAATATAGATATCACATAGATCATAGATATAAGAACAAGATATGGCTACAACTTGATATTACTGTAGATATTACTGCACAGTTTGTATCAGGAAAGGTCACTTTACTATATGTATTTAAGTAAGTGCTGCAAAAATTGCCAATAATGTTATAAAAGAGGCATACTAACAGCGATCATGTAGAGCTGAGCGATCCGATATTCCTCTACCGTGAGAGGTAGAGGAATACGATACTCCTTGATGAGCATTGTGGAGACAGGAGGTATGGATGTAGGAGATGTAGGAGATGTAGGAGATGTAGGAGGTGTAGGAGATGTAGGAGATGTAGGAGGTCTATCAGACCACGCCGCGCCTCACGTCATACCGGGAGACGCCCTCAGAGCGGCCAGCCCTGGGGGCGAAACATGACACTTCAAAAGACAACGAAAAAAATATGAATTCTTTAGGGATCTAAAATACATTTCAAGTCATCACTCTAAGTTTAAAGGATAAAACAGCAACCGGTCGCATAATTTTAGAGTTATCTTTAAGGTATATTAGCTTATTAAAGCAAAATATTTATTATTTTAATTAATTCAAATGAAAAAAGTCCTAGCTCGAAACAAATGGCGAATTTCCATGGCATTCTTTGACCAAGTGATCGCGTGTTTGCTCAAGAGAAAATTCAAGGTCAAGCAAGTAGCGCCCTTAATAAGCGTAAATTATCGTTGATAACAGAATATAAGATAACAATTGCAGCTACTTATGTGCACTGGTTTCCTCTAAATCCGGCCATTTCATAGCTCCAGCCAAGTGAGTCGAGCGTTTTATTATAATTATGGTATAAAATTAGACAAAATAAAATTAGAATCTGCAATTTAGACTCACTATTTGCTAGTTTGCTAGAATGCAAAACACAGTCAGCATCAAAAACAAGACGTGAGCAAGACCGCTCCCCAACCTGCGCGGAAGCACAATTTTATAAAAGGCCTGGGCACTTTATCAAGTCCCTCCAGTAGCTTGTACAACTTCCATGTTGTAGCCATAATTGTAGGAGTTAATCCAACGCATGTTATCCAACACAAACACAGCCCCACTCATCAACACGCACGTCAACTAACACAAACACAGCCCAACTCATCAACACGCACGTCAACCAACACAAACATTTCATCAACACAATCAAATAACACAAACATGGTCCACGTTGTCCTGAATGATAAAGTGAGTGCTATTAAAAAGCGCTGCTGCTATTGGTCAGTTACAAGGGCGTCATGCAAACCTGGCCACGCTATTGGCTGCTGCTTGACGTCACACACAAGCCCTCGTCTGATTGGCCGGCTGAAGGCACCACAAGTGTTCCCGCCGGGCAGAATAACGAAACAAATGAAATAGTTGAGTCGGAAACAAGCGAAGTGGAAACCTGCCTTATAATTAGGCGTTGCAGTCATCCGACATTGTTACTTTTGGAGTGAACCTTTTTCAAGACCGTCTGTTTGCTTCCTTGACACTGCATGTTCACTCTGTTTAATTTAAACACTAGATTTGTAAGTGAATGTTTGAATTCCCGTCCGTCCGTATTTTTCCTAACAGCCTGATTATTTGTCGATTTTTCAAAAACACAGTCTTTTTAACCTTAATTTAAACGTCAGATCATTTGGCAGTTTATACATATTTTGTATAGTACATAGATCCAGGCGAGCCTGTTAACGAAAAACAGTGAGGTTAGCGCGGGTAGATAGCATGAAAGGACGACACTTGAATGATGCGAGCAACATCCCTGGAGTGTCTGCAACTTAGCAGACATACTAAAATGTTCGTTGTAATGTCCGTAGATTTTTTCCATAATTTGTTAAATATTCCAAGCTTCAAAAATAAATATTTGAATTTGAAGCTTGATGTTCGGTACGTAGCTTTTTTCAAATATTTAAAGGTTCCAGGTAGCCTAAATTTAATACTTGGGCATTGAATTAAGCTTGAGTCTGATTGCACTAGATAAAATAAATTATACATTATTTAAGCAGTATATTTAGAGTAGTTTATTCAGAATTAACCCTAGTACTATTATTGAATTTAATAGTATATTTTCATTGGAATGTTTTGTAGATGACATCGTAGATAACATCGTTATGTCATCTACATAACATCGTTACGTTACGTATAAATGTTACGGAGGTAACATCGTCATGTTACAGCTGGCAGAGGCCATCAAAACGTGCGGTACTAGACAAGTACGCGTCTGAAAGTAAATACTTGCATCATTTCCACAATCATCAACTATCCTAAATAAACGTCAGTAAATTATTGAATAGCTTCGAGTGCATAACTACCAAGTACCAACAAAGAGAAAACTGCTCTGCACCCGAAAAAAAAATCAAGCCGCTAGACGTTGACATCTTTGCGGCAACCAAAATACTGTCATTCATTATGGCTCAGTCAGCAACGTTCGGCAACATGAGTGAGGGACATATTAACTCATTAATCGCATAATCACCCGCTATATAATTACCTAGAGCTGAAATACCTTTTTACGGTTTTACCTAACCTAATATTATCTGGTTCATTATTATTAGATAATATGTAATTTACTATATTATGACCCACTACAATGACTACATTGTCACCTAGTGCAGGAGTACCAAGTTAGTTAGTTTAGTGGCCAAATGTTTACTAGCGCTTCAGCTATTTAGCTATCTCGCACCGAAAGTCAAGATGAACATCACCATGGAGGTGGAAGGTCTCAATTATTCATCACCCACAAGGGGCGGAAGGTCTCAGATGTCCAGCCCGCTGAAGCTGGCGCGAAAGAAGCAGCGTTAGCATCTCAAAGAGACGACGTGACAAGGAGGGACAGGTGAAAAGCAACAGAAACTAAGACACTCGAACAAGAGGTCGCTTACACGGGACGTCGGCCGCCCGACGAGACAGAGAAGTGAAATGTAAAGAATCCTGCCTACATAATAACTTAACCCCACAACTGAGACCTGCAGTCAGACACCGCGAGCTCAGCGGTGGGGCGCTCAGGAACAATCCCCCTAGGAACGCGAAATCCCATAGGACTTCTGACGAGCACAGACACCCGTCAGAAGTCCCCCCTGAGGGGGCAGGAGTACCAAGTAAAATGTTATTAAGTACATTGTTACTAAAGACTTCACCTCATATGGAAGACCTGAAACCTTGATTAGTGCAATAAGGCATCATCATTTGAAGAATACAATACTAGTATCAGGATTACCATCACATTCATTAGTTGAGTATCAGGGGTACCCTCATCACATTCAACACTTCATTCACTTGAGTACCTATATGAATTATCCACATTTCATTCACTAGTCTATAATGTACGTAGGTTATGTTCATATACACGTATAATTAGTTCATCGGTGACGCCATCACTAAATAAATACATCAGACTGATCAGAGTGATGCATGTACAACGGTCATCAAATACATGAGTTTGGTATCTGAGTAAGCATCGTTAATCGTAAATTGTTTATCACGTACGAGTATTAAATGCAGTCACAAAATCTCTTAGTAACAAAAATAACGTCGCGCCTTCACTACCGCAGCTCTTGAGAAGTCAAAAATATTCCTAGGCTACAACGAACATTCTTTCCTAGGTCACATCTGGAATGCTTGGACACATTGACCGCCATTGTGGATGACAGGGCTATAACCAGACTAATATCAATGTTCGTGATATTATGTTATATGGTAAACATAGAGCCGATGATGGTCTTCGTGAAGCCGGACTATAGCCTGTTAAGAAAACGACGGTAATTAGGAGCTCGCGACGCATACCGCCACTGATGGCGTCACAAGGCACACTAAAACCAAACTCTCACAGACTCACGCCACGAGAGTGACGCGACGGCAGCAAGGCCTCCTAAGCAGCACCAGCAGTCGTCACAAGCATGGGCCTAATGTACTCCTAGTCTTTTAACGCTTAGCCGATAAGAGAATGAGATGCATAAGCAAAGAACTTACGAAGCACTGATGTACTTTAAGCAGCTCATTATTCGCAAACAATCACCTCAGAGGTGATAAGAGTAAAGGAGTGCCAGCATAGCTTTCTGTTGGCATGTTAGGGAAAAGCAACGCAAGTGCGCGTAGTCCCCCAAGTTCACTGGGCGCACAACTGAGGTGAGGTTTCCTTACGTTCCTTTGTAGTTTCAAGAACAGAAACGCGGAGTTAGCGCCACAGTACCAGAAACATCAGAGTAGATTTGATGATTGTTCAGATATCAAGCCTTCGTACAAATGCTCTGATATAATGAACAGCGGTCCTTTCAGCGTTTTTCAAATATCACGATCTAAACATGAGCGAATGTTTCCAAACAATGTTTGGTAAATGCAACGTAGGCACCGTGTCCGTCCGAACATACGGTACTTTGCAAACCCGGATTCAGGTTATCAAAATGTGAACAAAATTTATGTTAGTGTTAACACGAACCACTCGTGCTTAATGAAATATATTTGTTCTACTCACGAGAAGGCAATTGATTTACCCACGCCCAAAGAATTTGGTGTTTTTAATGCGTCTAGACTCTAGAGTCTAGAGGAGCATTTTCACAAGCTGATCATTGTTCTCAAATGCTTGAAATAGTTTTATCCCTTGAATATAGACTTCTGAATCTCATAATTGTTTTCTCAAAATGAACCATGACAACAGAAAAATTTTTTTCTCTGGGGAAAAAAATACCAAGACGAAGGGAAAAGACTGTCCAGAACCTAATCTATCAATCGGGACAAGAATTGTTTCGAAATTGAAAAGTGGTTTCCCGTACATAAGAAAACGTTGAGAAACAGTGACATGATACGAGACGTAACATAACGGTATTAGATATTCTATTGCGTATCAAACATTAAAGAACGCGCGGTTGAGGGATGTAGATATAATTAATCGCTTGATCACTAATGGGCGCTTGAGTGAGTTTGATATCATTTGGCAGCCAACACGTGTCAGTTACATTAATGGGCAAATTTGGCTATGTATAGAAAAATTCTGCGGTAAAATCTTTTTCTTATAACGTATCATAATCGATACAATTCAAACAAAGACGCCCGTAGCTAAACGAAAGCGTTTTGAAGGTCGTTATGGCACGCACCATCGCAAGTTGCTGACGCCCAGCCTACGAGTCGGTCACTCAAGCGAGTGCGGCCTAGCTTCCATAGGCACTTAAAATTACCAGCCAATTACAAGATGGGCATTAGAGGTAGCACTTTGGGTATTAGAGGAAGAAAATTGTGAACAATTGCATTATTCAAATTGAGGATTAGCTGGTATGTCTCGGTTCAGTATGGATCGTTTTAAGACCCGTTATGTTAAAGGAATGCAACTTTTGCAGAATGGAAATGCTTAATCAGTCCGGAAAGTCAACAGGTCATCGACGAATAAAACATGCCACAATC